ATATTTCCACGAGTGCTTTTGCTTTTTTAAAGTTAAGAAACCCTGCCACTGTAGCCTCGCACTTTTCATCAGTGTGAAAGAATTGATCAAATTCCAGCATCAACATAAATGGGTTAAACCGAGTTGAAATGAGCATAAAGAAACTTTCAAAAGGTAAAAATATAAACAGCACACACACACACGCACGCACTGTGAAATATACTGAAGGCCAAACATCCTAGTAAAGCAGTGACAAATGGAGCACGTTTTGAATAGCAGTAAGCTTAAAAACATGAACATTAGATTGAGAAATTGAATTATTAAGATTTTTACACATACAGCCATACATTATTTTGCTTCTGCTCTGTTTTGTTAAGTTAAAATAACTGTTTCTTTGTTTCTTCAGCAGGGACGTTGTTTCAATATGACTGTATGTGCAAAAGACCTACTGTGTGGGTCGGAGTGGAGTTGCCATTTAGACTGAAGGTAGACTTTTTAGTGAACATGAGGGGTTTAGGGCAGACCGTGCAAAATAATAAGTCTCAAAAATCTTACATAAGGATTTAAAGAAGTTTTCATTTTCTGAAAAGCAGATTTGTACGGGAGAATGACGCAAAGACCCCAGTAGACTGGAGAGCACAAGTCTGGGAGCTGAACAGATCTTAATTTGCATGCTGAAGAAAAACCCTTTATGACTGTGCAGTTAGTCAAGAAGGTACTCCAGCATGTGTGTGCACAGGTTGCAGTGTCAACAATCAAGAGAAGACTTCTTGCAGATGCTCAGAGGACCTGCTGCAAGATGCAAAACCACGGTAAGCCTCAAAAGCAGAAAGGCCACCTGCAGCTCACATAAACATCCAAAAAGAAAGTTTTGGAGCACAAGCGTATGAAATGAGGGAGCAAGTTTTGTCTAAACGTAGAAAGAAGAAAGACAGGAAAACTAAAAAAATAAGCAGCTCCACCCAGAGCATCAAACATGGAAGTTGCAGCTATTTTGTCTTAAAATGCTTCCGGTGGAACTGATTGTTTCACACATGACACGATGCAGAGGTGCACAAATTCAACTGATGGGTTAAACCTAACTGGAAAATTTGTCATCATCCAGCAAGACTGTTTTCCTAAACAACCAAAGAACATTTTAGAGTAAAGACGAGGTATTTCCTCCACTGGCTGAGAGCAGACACCCCACAGAACCCACGAGCTCAAGGAGATTACAGTGAAGCCCGGAGAGAGCATCAAGCATCTGCTGATATCTGCGAGACAAAGACTTCAGGCCATCATTTACTGCAAAAGTTTTCACCAAAATGTTATATGTGAGGATTTGCTTTGTCCAAATGAATCCCTGCGCTGTGTCTCCACTCAGTTGTTTCCATAATGACACAAACCCGATGAAATTAAACATATTTAAGGTGTTGGTGCTTTAATGCACAGTTACTATATGTCAACCTGAATGGGTTGAACACAGAGCCTGGAGAACAACAGATGCTTACTACTGGATTGTAAAGAAAAATTACTTCAAGACGTTAAAGCAGTGATTTTAAGGTGGGGCAGAGGAAATAAAAAGCAGCTTTAACTTCTATTAAAGGTCTTTACAGAAGTGTGAGTGTGATTAAAAAAAAATCTTAGAAACAAAAAGTGTTAGTCACTCCGGGGAAAATAGCAACGTATTCAAGAGCCTTGTTCAGGCAGTGTCATAAACCACATACAGTAGAGCAGTTCCTCACAGCCTGTCTGAAACATCAGGGGACTGTAGACATCAACCCGCCAGGCTGCAACCTGCAAGCTTTTATATTTAGACACATGAATCTTTCACAAGGCCCCGTAGAACTGGGATGGGGTTGTTCGGTTGGTGAGGTCACCACCCATCAAAAGCAGCCTTTTCACCCAACTGAACACCTCTCTCTGGGGCTGAGAAACGGCCCTCTGCGTCCTCTTCCATTTCATCCCAGAGGAGCACACGAGCACTGACTGTTTATCCTCATCACAAGGAAAAAGTTACGTGCATGTCCCCAGAGCTGCACTTCACTACTAGTGGGAGTAACTTGTAAACCATGCACATTGTCAAATAAACTAATGAAAGGACGACTCCTTATCAGTTTGTAGTTCTTCCTTTTTTCTCACTCTAGCCCTAAATGTGTACGTCTGAATCTAAATCCAGTGCTTTTGTCCCACTTTAATTCCCCATTCTTCCGCTTTCTAATTTCTGTTTATATTGAAAATTCATTTCTGTTGACCAGTGGTTTGTGTGGGTTCAGCATTTTCTCCTGCGATTGACTGCCAACATTCTCCACTGCTTCGGACAGCATTTCTTTTATTTTTTTTAGTCCGCCTGTGAACAAAAGAGGCCATTTTGTCACCCAACCAAAAAGAACTATCAGGTCATAATCGCTTCCAAACCATCTACAATGGCCCACAGGGGGCAGTACTTACACACCTGCCACATTATAAAGCAATTTGATGAGTAATAATGTCCCAAAATGTAAAAAGTGTCCACTTTAGCTCTAAAGGGTGCACTCAGGACAAGGTGCGGTGGAAAAATTACGAGCTTACAGCTGATATTTGAGCTATTTTCCTGCCTTTCATTTTTAATTTCACACATTTTATGCACTTTCAAGGGCAATTTCTGACCCTGCTTCTGTCCTGTCGCTACCTGCTTTCATCTTTTCTGACTCCACCTGTTTCATATTCCCTACCAGTGCCTTACTATAAGAGAAACAAGAACGCAGGAGTGAGAAGGGGAGAAAGACAGGATGGCAGACAGTCGGAAACAGATGAAAGATAGATAAAGATAGAAGCTGGCTAGGCTTCAGGAAAGAAAAAACCCTCCTGCCTGCTCTCTGCGCGCCGCTCACCAGATTTCTCTGCCTGCTTTTTTTCAGAATCCCTAATCTTGCCTGTTAACAACCTGCCAATAGGGCCGCTGTCCTCATGAATAAACATACGGAGAGTGGAGCATGGCCCTGAAAACATGACAACCAGCGCTCATGTGAGCACGCCTATAATGCGAGTGAGCTTGCCTGCGACTCAGTCCATCACTTAGCACTTTTTTTCCACTTCTGAAAATGTCGCCACCTTCAATTGGCAGGCTTATGATCTTTTAATAATGATGACAGGTAGCAAATGGGTGGAGTGCTGAAAGCTATGAAGAGACTGTGTGGTGGAGATGAGTGGGCTGACTCACAAGAGCTCAGAGTTAAAGCTCCGCTGCGGGTTAGACAAATAATTTGCCTGTTTTTGTTAACTGGGCTTGCACTGGCCCTTGTTTTCCTCTCCTGGTGTGATAAATGTCTGACGGAACCAGATGCAATAAAAGAACAGAGCCACGAGTTCTGTCAACCTGATGTTCATTCGTTAAGAATTTCAGTTGCTCTTCTCCGAGAAGCTTTCCCACCCTCAGGATAAAAAAAGTGAAAAATGGACAAGATAATAGGCAGTGAAAACTGGATAGTGCTGGCTATCAAAAAGCCATGCTGGAACTCTAAGGTAATCATTCCTTAAACAGGATGTGGCTGCAGTCTGTCTTTGAATCAAGCATCTACTGGAGCCAGACAGGTCAGGCCTCTGAAGGCGCACAAATCCCTGACGGCCAAAGAAGACGTGCTTCACTTGCCTCCACCAGCTGTATCCGCCACCGTCCTCCATCACTCCCTCTTTCCATCCACCCCCACCCCTTCCTCTGAGCTGCTCAAGCTGCCTTGTGTGCTCTGTGTGTGCGGGAGCAGCACTTTTGACAGGGTGACTGTGGCGATGCTGACCCAAGTCGAGCTGAACGCCCTCGGGCGTCAGTTACTCCAGCTGCACATATAGAGCAGCGCGTGGGGCACCCGATGAGACAGTGAGACAAGATCACTCCTACTTGCTCCCTCCCTCCCTCCTCCTTTTCTCTGCTTCCCCTCGCCACCGAGCATGCTTCTCTTTGCGACACAGGAACACCTTATGCATTATTAAAGACACTTTTCCTAAAAAGGCTGCTAGCACATTATTCTGCAACCACAGTGACATGTCTCGATGCTCAAAATGTCCACTTTAGCTCTGAAGAATGTGCTCACCCAGGTAGCTCTCTCAAGCTGACAGTATTGTGAAAAGGTTGGAATAGTCACACAGTTTAAAGCGACAGACGCTTGGAGCACACAAATGATGGCTCAGTGTTACCTACGAGTTTTTGATAGCATTAGATATAAATGACAAAGCACATAAAGCACAAAGTGACTTCAAATCTGATATCAGTCACTCATTTATGCCAAAAACAAGTGTAGCTGATGCTGTGTATGAAGTGTAAACTAAATCCAGAAACCCTCCAATGCACACTGTGATCCTCCAGTCAGAATTTGGATGGAGCCTGAACCAAAGAGCGCTCATGTTTAATGATAATGGTTAAAGGCATCTGCTTAAAACAGCAAGGGTTTTTTTTTAGACTAATTCAAGGTGAAGCCATTCTAGTCTTGAAGATTATAACTATTATTTTAAAAAAAATAGCATAACTGTACTGCCACATACTGCTTTGTGACAGACCTGGTGTCACTCATTGGGCTAGGAAGCATCTTTAAATCACACCAGGAGCTACCAAATGTGCAAAAGTGACCAACACCTAAACCAAATATACCAAAAAAGCTTCTAAATGCAAGAGACAACAAAGGATGCATTAAAGGTGGAGTAACTGCTTGCAGCGTGACACTAATATAATTATACATGGCAGTGAAGCAAGGACGTTGTAATAAGTTCCACAAGGGGGCGCCTCTAAAAAATGACCTGAGGAAATTGTGTCATGTTTTTGGATGAATTCAAGGGCACCTTATTTCTACATGTTAACACGTCTTCTTTGCTTTAAACTTTGTCAAGCTGTCCAGAAACCAAAGCCCAACAGCTGCCTGCCCCATCCTTAGCTGTTTATTGCTGGAGATAAATGCATAAACCAGACTCACCAACTTCCAGCAATGTTAGAATTTATTAACCGGAGTGTAAAAATTATTCCTCAACGCACAAAAGAAAAAGTAAACTTCACAAGCAAATGGAAAACTCACATTTCTTTGAGTGCCTCTCTGGGAGTCCCGCTGCTCTTTAACGCCGCTCAACAAGTTCAGAGCAGCAGAATGAACATGAACGAAGAATGAAGCTCTTTAAGACGCGCTCCTTAACGGGAACGTGATGAGTACGCACGTCAGTCTCCGAGGAATCGCTGCGCGCACCATCTCTCGCTCTTGTTTCAATCAAGAGGAGGATTTTCCTGCCACTTCAAAACAAATGACTGATCACCGTCCTGAGGGCTCGGTCAGCACCGCGCCTGCTGGAAACGCGGGGGATCTCTGAGCAAGACTCCGGTGCCAAAGTGTCCATCATCCTCTTTTCTGGTGTCATTCCATCACGGTGTCAAACCTGAAGCACAATGATGTCCACGGAAAAGGGAACCCCCCACCCCATCCCATACACACAAACGCACACACACGCAGTACCGCGAAAGAAACTTTGACCTGCTGGCGCGCTTTCCTCCTCTCTGCGATCTGCTTCCTATATTTCCAAAGACTGCTGAGAGCGGATCTCTGCGCGGATCCCGTCCCCACTCTCCCCTTTCTCTCCTTCTCCCTGGCTATGAATAGGTTTCAGCCACTCAACAGGGACATGAATCACAGACAATTAGTCTCGGCTGCTGAGAATATCCGCTCGCATCAACGCATCTTCTCCTGGCCGTTTCCCCAGCAAGGCGCAGCACCAACCGCACAGACGGAGATGACGGGGAAGATAATGCGTTCCGAGGCTCTATTAGATGAGACGCACACTCAGCGTGTTTCCCCCCCACACACACGCATACCTATGGTTTTTCTCCACACCCCTCCAGCCCTTCTCCACTTCGACATACTCCTCCACCCCCCACCCACACCCCTTCTTCACAGACATCAACACGCACAATCCTCTTTCGGGACCCGTTAGAAACTCAGAAGGGAGGGGGATTGTCTGTAGTTGAACCTTGTTTGGTTGAGTTCACACGAGTCGGCTGATCGAGTTAAATTATCCAACAAATGTGGGCGTGAATATAGTCTCAAAGGAATGATTGCATCCGGGCAAAATAGAGGGGGGGATCATACTCTTGGTGATTACTACTTAACAGCCATCCGAGCATGTGAGAGGAAAAAAATAGAAGAAAAAAACAATATTTGTGCTTTTGATTTCACATGCAAAGCCATTGTGAAGTGTGAACGTGTTGAAATGCCAGGATCTTATTTATAATTAGATTTATTAGCTATAGTTCTAGTAAAGCGAATTTAATGTGTGTTGTAACTATTCAAAATGGTGCGTAATTGCTCCAAAATCCCTCTGACGCAAATAAAAACAGTGGTACCATACGTTCACTGGTCCCGCCTCGTTAAACGGGCTGTTTTAATTCCAAATACGTGTAAATTGGGACAGATTAGCATAATATAACCAAGACTGAAAAAAAATGGAAATGAACAAATAAGGGCGAAGGCTCCACTGAAAGTGTCTATTTTAAAATTTTAAAACTCAGTTACTGTGGGTGAATACGTCCGTGGGATTACTTAGATATAAATAATACAAAAATCTGTTTATCAGAGTTTAACATTCGAAGTTTAACACCTGTGGGTGAAGAAGCAACGTTGTTTATATTAATTTAAGGATCTCATAACCTACTTTTTAAAAAAAATTATAATAATAATAATTATTATTTAGTTAGCGCCCAGTGTGTTCTGTATTATCACCCCTTAACACAAGGAGCAAGAGAAGACGGGATGTTAAGGAGTCAGGTCATGACACTTGGCGCGCAGGTTAACCTCACAGTAGCTTGACAGCCTTACAGTTGAACGAGTGTCTACAGTCTATCTAGTCTCTAAAGGCCAAGACAGGCCCCTAGTCACCCCCTACCCGAAACCAACCTGTGTTAAGGCTGGTGATGTTCAAGGATGTGGTTAAAAGGAAAGAACAGACACACAGACTTCATAGAAAACGTTCGTTGGGCTTTTTTCTTCTTTTTTAAAATATCGATCAAAGAGCCTGAGAGAAAAAAAAAAGTATTTGATGACAAGTGTCTGCCAAGCGTTATTGTAATTTTTAGTTTGACTTTAAAGTGGGAATATCGGCACGCAGCAGTGCTGATTCGTTTCGAGTTAGACGTGGAAATGCTTCCTGCTTTGGTTCTGTGCACCTACAGCGCATCCACGTGTCCTTTAAACAACGTATACAAGTGATTTGGAGCAAGATTTTAAGATAAATCTTTCTGTTCAAAGAAAGTGTGAAACAGCACTTTCTTAGTAGGACAGCGGCATTCAGGCTACACCTGATCTCATACTGGATGTACCACAGAAAAGGTACCGCTTTTTATTAGAGCATCTCTCCGCACGGGAGAGTGTGGTGCCGAATGAAAGCACAGCAAAGAGAACCTGAAAGGTAAAAAAAAAAATAGCATGTGATCTCAAAATAGTCGCCTTACTTTCTCTTATCACGACGCACCTTTTGGTTGCCCACTTGGCGCGCGTCGTAGCGAAGCTTCAAAAGTTTATGCGCCCCTCCATCCAGCTGGACATCAATTAAAGAAATAAATCGGCTGCCTGAGCCTCTCACCTTGGGCTTCGGTGGTTCATTCCGTCGGTAGCAGCCGGTAATGTAGCCTGTTGCAGACAAATAAATCCGCTTTAAAACGGGACATCTTAGCACGGCGCGAGAACGGCACACTCCGCGACCCGCTTGTCTCTGCCGCTCCCGGGGAATGGAGAGGAGCTCCCTGCACCGACGCAACGTCACTTAGACCTGGACACACAGGTGGAGATTTTTCCAGGAGAAAATCCCACAAAGTAATTGTATCTTTAAATCGTTTGGTTATTAAAAAAAAGAAAAAGAAAGAAAGAAAGATTTAAAAAAAAAAAAGGAGAGACACAGAGATACCTCGAGTGGCCCCTTAAAAAAAGAAAGAAAAAAAAAGAAGATCCTCGGAGACGGCAGAGTGGCCAGACCCACTGCTCTCAGACACAATGAGGTGGTGAGGCTTTGACAACTGGCTTTCACCTGAAGTTTAATTCTACTGAGTGCAACCATGAACAGAAATATACATATTCTTTAATTTTTAATTTTCTTTTAAATTTTTTTTTTTTTTTTTACAATTATATGGCTTTAAGTAGGAAATGCACTGTCTAAATATGTGACAGCATTAAAACTTTGGAAACAGGAGCATCGCTACTGAGTGGGAAAAGAAAAAAGCTCTATGGAAAAACGGCTGGCAGTAATTCTGTTAGTCTTCATTTCGAGCAGCTGCTTCCAGAGAGGTGTTTTGTTTGCTTAAAGTCACGTTGTTAAAAGTCAAAGGTGTACCGTCTGAGTAGACAAACATGTAAAACTTATACTGCTATGCAAAGAGCTGGAACAATGGATTATATAAGCTGTGAATGACAACATATTGCAACACTAGAGGGGTTAAGCAAGTCAATCAACTGATAAATCAAACAGAAGCATGCCGTGAAACAACTCTTGCCTGATTTGTTTTTTTTACTTTTCAAATTGGAGAATATTACATTATTTGCTCACTTGTCTTGCATCTTTAGCAGTTACAGCTGAGGGAGTGGGCTTCCAAGGCAGCATATGAGTCAGAAACAGAGTTTTCAAGGCTAGAAATCTCAACAATAAGTCAGTTGAGTCACTAATCAATAAACCCTATCAAATCCAGTACTCTAACATGGCCCACGAAACATTTTGTTTCATGGGACCGTTCCAGTGTCAATTAATTCATCTCTCACTTTACTCGTGTCACTATGGAAAGGTTAAGGATACAGTGTTGACCATCTGACCTGAGAAGACAGCTCTTCATGCAGCTGCCTCTCTCTTTTTCCCTCTCTTCTGTGAGCCCAAGGGCAACTTGCCTGACATGAACCTCTTTTTCTAATTCACTCAGCGACAAGAAAGAGGAGAGCGCAGAGGAAAGCTACCAAAGAGCACATTAAATTCCCACTTATTGACTCAATACAAAGACACCATATAAAATGTGGACTCACAATACATTTCTGAAGCTCATCTACAGACTGTTAAGCCCTATTCTGTCTTTTATTCAAGGCCTAAAAACACTAAGCTCACGCAGACTGGGTTTGAACAGGGATTCTGTAAATGAAGCCATTCGCCAATAAAAGGCTAAAGTACCTGAATACTAAGAGATAACCCCGTGTATGTTAACATGTTAAGGTAAGGCTGTGACGAACAAGACGCACTAAAGGTCAGCAAGGGAAATGAAAGGAGGGTGTGTTTGAATGTGGAGGAGTATTATTATTCAAGGACAAAATGACCATGTGCCATCAAATCCATCAGTGGGTTCAATAGATGGCTCTTTACTTAAGAGACCAATAATCACGAGGCCCACTCTTCCAGTATCTCACCACTTCACTTATGTGCTGTTAAGTTTTGTTTTCCTTTTCCTCTTCTTCTTCTTCATGATGGTTATTAGTAAATTGATGAGTTACGCTGTTTTTGCACATCCCTGTCTGGCGGATGCCAGGAACGGATGTATTGAATTTTTTGCACCTGTTGAATGGACGGTAATGTTGCCGGTATCCAGAAGAGTCTGTCCGTTAGTCAACGGGGTGGAAGGAGGAGAGGAAGGCAGGTTATTAATACAGGAATAGTGCAAGTAATAGTAAAAGTTAAAGAGAGGGCATGCTAGGGCAGAAAGTAAACCAAAGGGTTAAATAATCAGTAACCCAGAAACACAAGGAGATCACAGAGGGTATGCACAGGGAGGCCAAACAGAAACATAACAATGCAGCTGACAAACAGTCTGACAAGGACAAAGAGGAAGAAGGGACTATTTAAACACACTGGGCAGGTTGGGAGCACAAAAGAGGGGGGAATGAGACACAGGTGCAATGAAATTACACACAGGTGAAAACAATCAGGATAATCACACAGCAGCAAGTAAAACTAACACAAGATGTGAAAGAAATCACACCTTCAAAGTAAAACAGGAAACAAACCAAATGCAAATGGTTAACACAGAAGCAAAAAGACTTGCGCTACATATGACAGAGACAGTGGAACAATGCTAACAGATGAGACAGAGCAGACACATAAAACTGCAACTAATAAAAACAAGACTAAAAATTAATTTAGAATACAAAATCCTCAAAATGACACAAACCAGTCAAATTGTGTCAGAAAGATAGTGGCAGAAGTATTCTGAACATGAACAAGAATGAAAACATCTTACACACTTTTCTGCAATTCATACTTACAGACACTGAAAGCGCTGTCGTAGATTGTGCCACTGACAAATACATGAGGCGCTACAATGTTTTTAAATGCAATAACGGCAGTGGGTAAAGTACCAAAGCTGATTAATGTTTAACTCAACACAACACTGTTGCATTGCTTTAAATATCACAAATCTCCACATTCCTTCAGAGTTGTGTGGAGACTGGGTGAGTTCATATTGTTTGGTTATAAAACATTCAAAAAGTTGAGGAAGGAAATTTAGGGAATCTCATTTTAATCACTATTATTCAAGTTTTAATCACCTTTTAGTGATGACAGGGAGTCATAGCTTGCTATGTAAAGCATCTATGTGTCTCTTTGGAGGTGAGACAGTGAGTAAGTGTCAGGACCAACACAGGGCTCACGTCACCGGGTGGGATGCGTTTGGAAAAGACTGAATCAGGTCAGCCTCACCACTATTATGCACCTGCTCCATTCGGACTTTGTGTCAAACGTTTATCGTGCTCCTTTCAGTCGGGCACTAACCCTCCGCTCCAATCTGCTGCCTGCAGACCTCTGCTGCTTATCCAATCCTGCACGGTGTCCTAAACCCATAACCCAACTCACCCAAATTGAAATATCATATTAAGTTATAAAACA